GGGAGGGGGGGAAGGGAGGGGTTTACCCGGGGGGGGGGGGGGGGGGGGGGGCAGCACACGTGGCACTCACGGCCCAGGTGGGTCTCTCCGCGTGTGTGTTGTACGTATGTCTTGAGCGTTTTGAATCACGAAGTCTACCAGGTTTGGTGTCTACGGCACTGTCCGTTTTGTTCTGTGTGCTTTTTTTGCGCCGGCTTTTGCGAGTTTGGTCAGAGGAGGGTCTTTTACGTGCAAGGTGGCTGACCGGCTGAAACTCGTTGCCCCGTGCACACGCCGAGCTCCCCACGCATGGTTTCGTTTTTCTCCGACTCCGCCGAAAGCTTTCAAACACAAGCATCGCGTTCTTCCACTCCGACACAGAACACGATTGAACAGTGTACATGAGTCATTCACACCTTGTCTCCAAGCGTTTGCAGTGCTTTATTTTGTAGCGGTGTGATGGGTAACGACCTCTCTATGGCGTGAATGGGCAACCCTGCCTGTCCCTGTTCGACGAGGATGCCGTTGGCGGCACTGCAACCCCCTGCTCGTTTTTCTTCTCTTCTGGCACCCTGCCGACCAAGCTTTCATGGCACAAGCCGTTTCTTGTTTTGTCTGTTGCTGTTGCCATGCGCTTGCCCGCAACTGGACCAAATCGTCTGATCGTATTTTACTCTCCTCGCACCTTGCCGACCACGGCTGTCGTCTTACTTTCATGGCACACGCCATCCTTTGTTTTGTTTGTTGTTTTTGTTGCTGTTGACAGGCGCTTGCCCGGAACTCAAGCGAATCGCTACCTCCATCGGGGCGGGGCTTTGGCAGAGCGAACACCTTCGGCGGGGGAGGGAGCGTTACGGGCTCTGTTAGCGGCGGGCAGAACGGAGGTGAGACTGCGCGCTGCCTCGCATGGTAACACCCGCCGCCGCGACTGAGTTGTGTCGGTGTCGGTGGCGGAGGAGGGTGGTCGATTTTTGTGGTGTGCGATTTCGAGGGGTGTGCGCGAGGTGTACTCATGTAACCGAATGCCGTAGTCGTTAGATCATTGGCCATGGGGTGAGGGTGCTGTGTTGTGGCGATGATGCTCCTCGTTTACATGGTTGCCACCGCATTTCGGCGCGCGTGGTGACAACAGGCCGACGGAAACGATTCATTTCGTGTCTCGTTGGCTTTCGCGGGTGTTGGTTTGGACGGGGGTCGCTTGTGCTCTGGATCCCTCTCTTTGTCGTATGCCATACCGAAGTATCCTCTATCGTGGAGTTTTCCTCCTACCAAGTATTTTTCCCAGGCCGGGTGGACAAGGACGCGGGAGTAAGAAGGATATTGGGCAGAAGCCAGAATGATCTACAAGCGCAGGCAAAGCAACAGTAAACAACCACAACACAAGCAAGAACAAGAACGACAACAACAACAACAACAACAACAACAACAACAGCAGCAGCAGCAGCTGTACATAGCAGCATCTCAAAAGGTACGCCCGCGCTCCGACCCCTGCCTGCAACTCACACCCCCCTTACCCGCAGGAGGAGGAGGAGGAGGAGGAGGAGGAGGAGGAGGAGGAGGAGGAGGAGGAGGAGGAGGAGGAGGAGGAGGACGAGGAGGAGGAGGAGGAGGATGCAGGAGCCAGC